TCGGATAGTATCCCAGACTCATAAATGAGATGGTACCAGACCCTGCTCTCACTAACAATCACGGCGGAGCATCAGCAGAAAATGATAACGGATGTCCTTTTCCTCAACACTGAAATACTTGGCATCAGGACAACAAATAAGCAGAAGGCACAATAGCTTACCTGTTGTTGCTGTTGTTTGATCCTGAGTCTCAGGCTGTGAATTATCAAACCAAGACCATATCTAATTAATGTGCTCCTGAGCTGCTGCATGGCTGTTTGAGTGCACAGTGGAAGTAATTGAATCAATCATGAAAACATCGTTTAAGTGAGGTCTTTCTACAAAGCCTTTACTCTTAGTTCTGTCTATACATAATGTCTGTATCTATTATAGAATGAAGATTAGAAAAGAAGGATCGAGGCCTGGTTTTACATTTCCACTCTCCTAAAGTCTCCTGGAATCCTATATATTAAAAGCCTAATATGCTAAGTTTCTGATCCGCCGTTCAACCAATCAAAGCATAACATGGTAATGATATACTAAGGCCGCTCAACCGCTCGCTATGACGTGCACCAGGGGGCAGACACTCCGACCAGTAGGTTAGCTTGCTGCTAGGGTCCGGCACGGGGCCCTCCTGCAATCCCTCCCTGGCTGGCCAACCTCCCGCGTCCTTCCCTGGCCCTGACCATGCACCAGTGGGGTCCCTCAGCCTGGCCTGTGCCCTCTCGCAATCGGGGACCCCTCAGAGGATGTCAGGGAGCTGGTTTCGGCCCAATCCTGCAGGCCAGGCGAAGGGACCCCACTGGTGTACTAATTCGTGCATTGGGCCTCTAGTCTTAGGATAACGTTGGAAATGCAAATTCTCTATAGATGTCAATTCAGTGCTGCTCATTCTTCAAATGGAATCCCCTGAAAACAGGCTCAGGGAGAAATCAAGTAGCAACTTAATAACCTATGATGGAAAGAGATTTTTATATGTACTTGACTGGGTGATTCAGCTATGCACTAAAGATTTTCAACACAGAATTTCATAAAGTTGCTTTTATTCATCTATTTTTGGAGTGTCTTAGAGGTGCACCCTCTTTTGGGTCTATCATTTTACCCAGGTAGCTCGTGATGACAACTGGCATTTGAAAGCTCTGCTGACACACATTAACCTCAAGTCAAGCTTTATACTTTATGTAAGTCAAGCAGGAACTTTGCAAAGGGTATGTGTTCAACGTGTTGAAATCAGATCTCAAGCATCCGTCCATCACTTTCTGTCACTTTTAATTCTAATTCAGAATGTGTTTCCAGAAAGGAAAAACAAACTTTAACTCAAGTTAAAAAAAATTCTGGACTCTGTTCAAATTAGAGAAAGGATAATAGGTAATATTTTACAATTTGAAATATCTCATTTGACTCTCAAGTTGGACTGAACCCAAAACATTTCCCTATAGATGAAGAATGTCAAATAGCACCAGAATAAACATCTAAACCACTTGTGAAAATCTGATAAAAGCTATGACTTTTTTTTTCTTTAAAAAACTGATCCTGCACATACACATTCTAAAATTTTTGCATATTATTTCAGGTGGTCCTGTATACTGTATGGCTGTCATTGACTCTACTGGAAGTCAATGAATGCCTGGTTAAAAACTTTGACTGTATACAGGCCAAATGCCAACCACCTGCACAATATAGTCTATGCTACCAAGAACACATTTGCTCAGAATAAAGAGTAGAGAGATAGGAGCCAATTTCACCAATGATGCCCTGAGATAAACCTGAGCATTCCCTAAAAAATTTGCAGACATCCCATTCTCACCTCAGAAACTCAATAAAGATGTGTAACTCATGCTACCCTCACCCTATACCAGTGGTCGGCAAACTGCGGCTCGCGAGCCACATGCGGCTCTATGGCCCCTTGAGTGTGGCTCTTCCACAAGATACCAACTTCTCCACATGGGCCACAAAGTTTCAATCGCACTGTACATGAGCGCCTGCATGTGGTATTTTGTGGAAGAGCCACACTCAAGGGGCGAAATGCCCGCATGTGGCTCGCCAGCCTCAGTTTGCCGGCCACTGCCCTATACCAAGAAGAGGCCAACAGGAAGTAAACATACAGGAGAAATATAGAAATTGGCATTATTTTTTGTCTTCCTGAAAGGAGTTATAAGAGATTTGGGGGGGGGAAGAAAAGAGCTACTGCCTAGCCAGCAGAGTTTCCAATTCCCCCCCACACCCCCACCCAAGTAAGCCATGCCAGACCAAATATATATATACATCAAAAACATTCTTTGACACCCAGAAAACAAGGAAATAGAGTGCTCCTATGCAGGAGTTGGTTTCCTGAATGAGTATAGGTTCTGGATTCCAGAGAATTCCAGATCACAGATAGGAAAGGAGCTGATGGCATGCCTCCAGGAGGGCTCTTCCAAAAATAACACTTACAGTAAAAGGGCTGCTGGCAATCAAAACCTACCCAGATGGCTGTTCTTATTGGCTGTCCCTACTGCCCACCCACTAAGGACCCTTAAGGAAGGGATGAGCCAGCCAAGCCAAAGAGCAATTCTAGGGACTCAGCCAACCCTCCTCTTGACCTCTGCCCTCCTGCACGCATTAGGGAGGATTCACAATCACTCCCTCTCACCAAGTTCCAACTCTCAATCCAACAGTCATGACGTTTTCCTCACTGGCTTAAAAAATGTGTATTTAGGAACTCACCACTGCTAACTTTTCTAGTTTGTTATATGCTACTTTCAAGTTTCTCCCTGAATCCTATAGCATTTCAGTAACTCTGGGGTTAGCCCTGGACTCGCTCTAGTGGACAAGTGAGTCTGTCTCTCTCTCTCTCTCTTCCTTAACTACTGAAAGAAACTTAGCTAAGTGCTCTGGAAAGAAGAAAGCACAATTCTCTTCTCAACACAAATCCTGAATTATGTTTCAGCAAAACAGAGCACACTCCTTCCTTGCTTTCTGAACAGTGGATAAGTCCCATGAAAGTAGGTCCAACTCAGCGTCCTCAGGAATGAGGGCAGCGTCTGGCACAGAGAAGACCTCAAGTACTGGTTGAATCAATGACTAGCTTACTAATAACCCTTACTTCCTTCTATATCACTCTCTAAGAATATTGTCTACTGGATCCTAAGCATTCGAATAAGCCCATTACATAATAGATATTCAATATTTGCAGACTAACAGGCAGAAAAAGTACTAAAAGATGGGCTATGAATGTTTCTAAAATGTGTTGATTGGCTACCTTAAAGCACAGCTGAACTACTCCCTATTTTAGATAGTTACTAGCAACTGGAATGTTAACTTCATCCAGTTCCCACAAGATATAGTTTGTCAGGATTTTCTTCTTTGGGAAATGGAAGTTTAGGGTAAACATGACCTGCCTCCTGCTGAGACGAGTAACTGCTGTCTGCCAGCATCTGACAAGATGAGAGTGTGATAAGCACCTTCAGCAGGGCTACTCTAAGGGCAGGGAAATCAAGGAGCAGCAAGTAGCCAGCAGCATGGCCAGCTTGGTCTGCAAAAGTTTCTCTCAAGAAAGGTTGTCTGTGGGACTACAAACAAGGAGTGACAAACAGCTGGCTCCAGAGAGCCAATATTCTGGGAAAACATGGGCAATCTGCAAGGGCCTGCTTTTTGAAATGCTCCAAAGAATCTGCAGAAGACGACCAGGACCCCAAACCTATGTGCACCACTCACCCAGCAAGCTGCTAATAGAAATTTAATCCACGGCTGAGCAAGCAACCTTACATTGACTCACGGGGCTTTGGAGGTTTCCTGGCTTCTGGGTGACACGGGATGGAAAGGGTCCCGTCTCGTCTCCAGCATTCACAGTCCAGTAAATCTCTGCCTCATTCTTTGGAGAGCAGAGTTCCACCCCTCATGAGCCATCGCCAGGAAAAGAGCAAATCCACACCATACTAGGAAAGCGACTCAAGGGGAGACGCCCTGCCTGAGTTTGAATAATCTTCCACGGAAGGAACACAGCCACTCCGGAAGCATGTTTTAAAACAAACCCTGGGGGCAAAGCCAAGAGGGAAGTGAAGGAAGAGGCAAGAGGGAGATATAAACGCTTCCCAATGCAAGCGGAAGCACAAGGGGCCCAAATCCAGAGACCTCGAAGGCACTGTTTCCATATTCCCACCCTCCCTGACCCACGGTAATGAATGACCCTCACAAACCAGGAGCCTTCCCCTACAGCTGGCATATAAAACTCTTAAGCAGATTTCATTTGATCAGATGACTCCTCCAGCTATGTGTCCCTAGACCCGTGGTCGGCAAACTGTGGCTCGTGAGCCACATGTGGCTTTTTGGCCCCTTGAGTGTGGCTCTTCCACAAAATACCACGTGCGGGCGAGCACGCACAGTGCCATTGAAACTTCGTGGCCCATGTGCAGAAGTCAGTATTTTGTGGAAGAGCTACACTCAAGGGGCCAAAGAGTCTCATGTGACTTGCGAGACACAGTTTGCCGACCACTGCCCTAGACCAAAAAACAAAGAAATTGTTCAGAAATCCTGGGTGATGAATATGAGTATTATACAGTCAATAACATGAGTATAAATCAGGTTAAAATAGAAAAAAGATGAAGTTAAGAGAAACAGAAAGGAGCCAGTCTTGTATGCACCTGCCGTGAGCCCAGCTTAGGAAAGTCCCACCCAGAGGTGGGTACAAACCAGCGGGAAATATGCAAAACTGAGAACCACTTCTGTATCAGGCTCGATGTCACCCTATTGCTGGGACAAGAGAATAAGGAAAGTTCTAAAAGAAAACTTTTGACATGGCACTTCGTATCCCATGGTAAGAAAAACAGAGCTGCAGGTGAAAAAAAAAAAGAGAGACTATGTTGGCAGTAGCAGCCAATGCACACACGGCACTGACAGCCTGCACGGCCCACCTCCCCAAACGCCGTCACCAGCTTCCAGACAGGAGACACGCTGCGTGTGAGTGCATATCACTCAAGAAGGACCGAGATGGTTTTGCAAATGAATCACTCGTGGGAAGCCCAGTGATTCACTGTCCTTACTGGTGTCGGGGGTATCCTCCGGGTAGTAGGTCACTCCGGTACTGTCTTGGTCTTGGGTCGGGTGAGCAGTCGGAAAGTGGGTGTGGATGATGTAATTTTCTGAAGTGCTTCTTTCACCGTAGGACCCACTGCTGGTGTCATAATCAGCAGTAGTGTTGTTGATGTCATCAGGGTTAGTTCTGTATTCGCCCTTCTGGGTGTAGCGGGTACCATCCCGGTTAACAATACCTGGGGGAGAGAGAGAAGGCCCTTTTAGAAGGTGACAGCTGACACTTTCTGAGTATAGAAAAGACTGTGAATTATCACCTAAGACGGTGACTGTAAAGCTACTTTTCTTTTTTATTAGGAAAAGCAACACCTCAACTACCTGTCTAGTGGGGGGATGTGTGGCTGAAGCATTGAGAAGAATGCACACTCCCCTGACCACTCACGCACCTGGAAAATGAAGAGGGGAAAAGAGATTGTGTTTGGGAGTTGCTGTGTTGGGATTCCAGTGTTGGGATTCCAGTGTTGTGTGGCTCCAGGAAAGGTAGGTACCTCTCTGAGCTTCAGTTTTGTCATTCAGTTATGAGCATAATGTAATATTGTGTGTAAGTGCTTGCATAGTATTCAAAATATAGTTGGTGCTCAATAAGTGATAGGTCTCTTGCCTGGCCCCTATTGCCCTTCTCAAGCACATGTCAACTTTGTGCTATTAGTTCCACCGATTTCCAGAGAGGATAAGAGGGAGGAGACACAGAGGCTATTAGCATCAGCAGGGAATATATATTTGCAAACTCACACAAGAATTAGATTTTCTTTCTAAGGGTCCAATTTTGTCAGTTTAAGTGAATCCCTACTCCTGGATCAGAAATTATCATGCTTGAGTATTGACAAAGCCTCTGTCATCCTCAATGAAATTCCACCTTGAAATTAGGAAGCACAGATGTATATTAAGATCAAAATCGTTGGTTTAAACAAGAAAATGACTGGAATGGACAGGAGGAGGAAACGCAAGGATGAATTCATTCATTGTTCTTCCCTGAAAGTATTTGCCGCCTTCAAACCCGGGCTACTGACTGCCCAAGTGTGCATTTATCTGAAGTTATTTTCTGCTGTATTGCACTGGAAGGACTGAAGATTCCTTTTGTCCACCTACCTAGCTTGCCCAAGTGGAACTATTCATAAAACATAAATTTAAAAACATTCCAAAGTCTCAGTCACCCTGATAATCTCTGCAGATGAGAATCTGATAAGGAAATATGACCAAAGTTGCACAGGTCTGGACTTCAGAAGACATCTGTGGGGACCAAGGAAGTGGGACATTTATTGAGCATCTACTATGGACCAAGCATGCATTAGACATATGCTTTCTCTTAATTCTCAGGGGGGAAAGTCACATATGTTGTTTCATTACCCAGATGAGAAATGGAGGCTCAGAAAGAGTAAGTCACTCCTCTAAATCCGCCCAGGTAGTGAGGTACTGGGATTCCACACCAGGCATGACTGAGACAGCACATCTCACACCGCAGGCCTCCACTTCCTAGTGCAAGGCACAGGCCAGGGACAAATCCCTCCGTAACAGTGGGGGCTGGGTTTGTGTGGTCCAGGAAGATTCTTGCCCCGCTGCCACTGTCACCACTATTCCTAGGCACACTGAGAGGTCTGGCTCTTAGCAGGCAGACATCAGGCCTCCTCAGCACTGTCATACTTCTCAAGAAGTGAGGTTCAGGGGCAATAAGATCAGAGATAATAAGTCGACCTCTTTGAAAGTTTTGTTTGGGACACTGTTTTCTACAGTGCCAGATGTCTACGTCTGGGGATCACTTCACATAATGTTGAATCACACATCAGGAAGTTTATACCCTTTGTAATTATCTTTCAATACTCCAGTTCAATCAAACACAAAATCGTGGGGGCTAGAATGTCCCTATCCTACCTCTTAATAATCCCCCCCGCCCCCCCCCCCCGTGAGAGAGAACACAGCTCAGAGCCTTCAGCTGCTAGAATTTAAGAATGTTATTTAATTTCCCCTACATTAAAATTTATTTTTAAGGGTACCTTCTAATGATGTCCAGGGATGCTGGCCTTTCATTTGCAGTGTGTGTGTGTGTGTGTGTGTGTTTAATCATTCTAAGTAGAAAAGAATGGGTCAATTAAATGAAAAAACAAACAACAAAAATCAATAATAGTGCTGTGTACATAGAAGTGCCCAAAAAAAGTGAGAGTGGTTTTCAAATGACTGAAGCTTGGGAAACAGTGCATTGGGTAAACCAGATAGAAGTTTTAAGCCATCAGAGAAAAAGAGGAAGGAAGAAGCCTTAGGGAAATGACTGCTATTCTGGTCAAATATAAAACATTGAAAATGCACTTGATCCCTTTGCCAAGAACAAGGAAAGGCAACCAAAGTTAGAAGAGATACGTACTTATGGATACCTCTCCGTCAAAGGCATTGGTCAGGTTTGTGATTGCGGTACAATCTTCTCCTTTCGGTGCTATGAGGTAAAAAAGAAAAAAGGCATGAGAACTCCAAAAAGTATGAGCAAAATCAATTCCCATTTCTTTTAGTTAATTAGGATGGAGTTTCATTATAACTTATCATAGATCTTTTCCTTTTCTGAAACTTGCTTAAGTCTCCTGGGAACCTCTCCAGCCTTTGTGATGAATTTTTCATTTTTATTTTGCTTTACACATTTTTTTGGAAGCTCACTTGTTATTCTTCCCATCCCAACAGATTCATTCATTAACAAATACATATGTTCTATATCAGGCATTGTGGAAAGCTGGGGGTACAATGATGAATAAGACAGGCATGGTCTTTCTCTCATGAAGCGCACGTTAGCGTTGCTTGTCAGCAAAGAGCAAGGAGGAAAGGAATGGATGGATGGTTGGATGGTAGGATGGTTGGATGGTAGGATGGTTGGATGGATGGGTGAATGGAGGCAAGCAGGCAGATTGCTATCACAAGGAAAGCTATTATCACAAATATTTTAAGTGTCCTGCCATACACCACTTGGTACAGTAAGATTAGACAGAAACACAAGTTGAACAAAACAGGGTTTGGTTGCTTCCCAGTTCCTAGGAGATCTTTTCCCATAGATAAAGGGATGTGTCCTTTACCTGCCTATTTCTTTGGCCTCATAGTGAAACTAAAGGGCAGCAAGTTTTAGGAAAAGCCCTTCTTGCAAAGGCTGATTCAAAGATTTCTCAGAAGAGAGAATCTTCAAAGTGAAAGTTGCCTCCTCGGGAAGTACATTCCTCACCATCCAATGTAAACTAGCCCCTCAACACTCCCCCATGCCTGTCACTACCACACATGGTCTGCTCTCATTTCTTCCTCTACCCCTACCTAAAATTATCATGCTCATTTTCCTCGATGACTGCTCATGGCACATCTCCCAACCCCTACCATCTGCTGCACACCCACCTCCATAGAAATATTTAAGCTCCTCAAGATGAGTAGGAACCTTATCTGTCTTGGTCAGGATATTTATGGGGGCAGGGAGGGGCTCAAATATTTGTTGAATGAATGAAAAAGGGAAAAAAAGTCCATTCTTCTAGTAAACACACCTAAGATGGAAACCCCCAAATAGTCCGCAAATATAAACAGGTCAAAAAACATTTAGATAAGCTCTGAATGGCAACGCCATGAGAAATAATTAAAGGCAACTCCAGATAAATCAGTCCATGTGTTGATTATTTTAGGTATTTACTTAACACATAATAAAAAGGAAGCCAAAAAAAAATGTTCTTGTCCCTGCTTTTGAGGAATTCCAAAGATCATGAAGGGCAATAATAATTAACATTCTTTAGATTTTTATAGTTTTCAAAATATTTTTCCAATAAATCCCTCATTTAAGAATCAGGGCAAATAGTCGATCTAGGTGATGTTAAAGAGCATCTACCCAGTCTGCCTGGGGCGGG